TTACTTCTGAAAGCAGAGAGGCCACCATTGGTTGGACAGCCTTAGCTAATTGTCTCACCTTCTGATGAATCCCTGGGTGGCCACCACTTCTTGGCTACAGTGAAATGTCAACTGTGACTTTGGTGAGCAGACACCTGCCTGAGTCCCTGCTTACAGGTGTCCCTGCTTGCTTTCCTTTGGGGTGTCTACTCTCACCATCCCCCTACTTCTTAAAAATATTTATTTTATACATGTGAGTGTTTGCCTGCACATATGTTCACATGTTACAGTACCTGAGAAGTCTAGAAGAGGGCATCAGACAGCCTGGAACTGGAGTTACAGCCAGCCATGAGCCACCATGTTGTATTGCCGGGAATGGAACCTCGGGCCTCTGCAACAGCAACAAGTGCTCTTATCTTCTGAGCCACCATGGCTCCAGTTTTACTCCCCATCCCCCCTCCTTTTCTTTTCTTTTGAATGTGCATTCTCTCAGGTTTATCAAGACTGTCATAAAAATCTCTGAGCCCAAAGTGGAAGGTATTTGGACAGCAGTGGAGCGTTCGTATCTTGGAACAACTCTCTGGGCATTACTTTTGACAGTCCTGTCCCATTTTTATTATTCTGCTTCCCCTCCCTGGGGAAGAAAACCTTTATGTTTGTGTCCAGTGTCCTGCTGACAGTTTATCTGTGAGGGAACCGAACTGGGTGATCCAGCCGGGTGGGTTGTAATAGTTGGTCTCAAGATTAAATCTTTAGGGCTGGGGTGTGGCTTGCCTGGCACACACGAGGACTTGAGTCCCATCCCCAGCACTGCAAAACACAAGAAAAAGATGTGTACTGTTTTTCTTTAAGATCTCATATGTGTGGTACTGTCAAGATTCAATGTCCTCACGATCCAGGTAGAAATAGGACCTTGAGACCGACTGGAGATGGGATTTGGGTGTTCTGAGAGCAGCCGTCCTTCACTAAGAGAGAGGTGGAAATGGGCCAGACTCTGGGCATTTTCATGTGCGTCTCCTCATCCGATGTTATTCCCAACTAGTTCATGATTCAGGAGCAAATTTTCAGCCCAAAGTATCACTGGTTGGCAAGAATATCTTTGCACAGATTTGGGGTACCAGCTGTACCCAAACTGTTTTGTAAGACATGGTTTGTGTTTAGGCTCACCTGGGTCCCCATGCACCTGCTTATCCTCCCAGCAGAAGCAGAGGCGTGAGCAATCCCGCAGTGGAATCTGGACAACATTTCACCTGTACAACCTCCTCCCCCAAGCCTACATCCCATTTGTTCCTGAGCTTCAGAACGATTGTTGACTTGCCTGCTTTTCCAGATGAAGTTTGGAATTTTTTTTATTGTCTTTAAAAAGATTGTTTTGCCCCATAAACTCATTGAGGATCCGCCCACCTTGGGAATGGCTCCATGGTGTCGGTCATCTTCCCTGCCTCGGGTGAGCTTGCCCTATCCTGTGGTGGATGACAAGCATTTTTCTCCAAATTCTCCTTGAGGCTGTGGCCACTTCTGAGGCCCTAGATTGATCAGGGAAACTCATTCTCTTCCCTCTCCACCAGGTCACCAGGAGGCAGGAGGGACTGGGAAGGACAGAGCTAGTCCCTTAAAGGTCACACAAGAGGTTTGGTTACCACCATGGAAAATGAGAGTAAGAAGCCAGGCTTGGAAGAGTCCCAGAAGAGGAAGGGAGGGAGGGCCTGGGTTGGCCAGCCCCACCTGGGTGCAGACAGATGGAACAAAGACCCACCCCACCCTGACTGCACTGATGCCTGGCCCTATGGGATCATAAAGACGGTGGTCACCCTGCCCAAGGCCTGTGGCTCCTGGTCTGCCACAAAATCCTAATTGTTTACCCAGTAATGGCTGAGTGGTGGGTATGTGAGGGACTAATCACTGTATGGAAGAGGAAACACGAACGGGTCAGCAGCCCCAGAGCTTGCTTGACTGTGGCCCTGCGGTCTTCAGTGCTCACAGCACCAGCCTCTCACATTGGCCCAATGACTTCTTCTCCCAGGTAGCTCCTAAGTTCAACATGCAAGGATACAGGAAGAATCAACCTGTCATCAAGGGATCACATACCCCCAGAATGCATTGGCATTGAGTGTCCACAGAGGGAAGGCACTCTCCTGCTTGTGTCCTCCTGGCCTGACCCTCAGCACCTGAGACTGTACCTGGAGTGGATGCTCCAAAGCTTTGGGCTAGCAGGAGAAAGGACATAAGCCAGGGCACTGTGGCCTCTTGTAAGCTTACTCTGCATTGTGGGCTTAGATCTTAGCCTTTGGGTCGTCTGAAAACTCTAGGTCTAGGATGTGTGTGTTCCAGGTTCCAGATTCCAGTCCTCGTATGCCAGGGTCTGGAGTCCGACATCTTGGTCGCAGGCTCCGTTTCAGGATTCTCTTTCTCAGTTCTAGGTTCTGAGCTCCAGGAGGGCTCTGGATTTGAGGAAGCTGGCTCTGGACTCTGTGGCCCTGGGTCTGAGGGTCCCATGCTCTGAGCATTTCAGTTTGGGTGTGAGTGTCCAGGCTCTAGACTCTGCATTTAAGCTATAGATCCTTATGTTTTTGAGGCCAGAGCTATGATTCCTGAGTCTTGGGCTTTAAATTACAGGTCTTAGACCTTACCTTCCTAATGCTGTAACCCTTTAACACAGTTCCTCATGTTGTAGTGACTCCAACCATAAAATTATTTTGTTGCTACTTCATAACTGTAATTTTGCTCCTGTTATGAATCATAATGTAAATATCTGATATGCAGGATATTTGATATGTGACCCCTGTAAAAGGGTTGTTTAATCTCCAAGGGGGTCTAAACCAACAGGTTGAGACTGTCCATTTTGAACTTTGGGCTAGCCAAGTTTGCCCCGAGTCAAGAAATATCATTACACCTCATACCTGGACCATTCCCTTCTTTGAAGTGGTTCCTATCTGTTCTCACCAAGGTGGCTTCCTACACCTGTAACAGTATGTGGCAAAAGGGGGTTGTTAATAGCGCACACGCGTGTGCGCATGCTCACACACATGCATGCAATCTACTCCTAGATCCATTCTTTATCAAATAAACACACAACCCTGTATTCAAAACCTGGGGACAAGACAGAAAGCTGCTCCTGTCTTCACCGTGGCTGCAGCTAACAGGGGACCCGTGTGGTGGTCCATGTGGGACCAGGGTCACAGTGCACCCAGGGGGTGGCACAACAGCCTAAGCAAGCTTCAGCTTGGCTCTTGTCTGACCCAGCTGTCCGTGCTCCAGGGAAGGATGAGAACAGGGTAGTGGTGGCATGTCAGGGCAGTATGCTATGGCCAAAGCTCTGGAGATACCTCACTATACCCTATGGACTGGCACTTTGGACGTCTGGCTGCCTGCAGTGTCTGATTCAGGAGTGTGGGGTATCAGGGATTTTGGAGATTGGACTTTGACACTGGTAACAAGATCACAGTGACTATAGGAAAACCCTTGGGAGCATCAGTACCAGAGGTCAGGACAGCATCAGCGAAGATGTGGCAGTGAAGAGTGGGTAGCCACAAGGACAGTTAGCTGATCAGAGGCAAGTGACCAAAGTCATTGTCAAAACTAGTCATAGTGGCCACATGGCAACTTCTCAGGAGGCAAAGTGGCAAGCGCCATAGTGCTTAGGTGTTTGAAGCCAGCCTGAGCAACTAGAGATCCCACAACTCACCCTCCCCCAAGAAAAATCACTGGTGACACCGTTGGTGGCTCAGGACACCAGTGACTGGGATCCACATTGGCCAAGGGAAACCTTGATGGGAGATTCTAGGCATGTGGTTAGTGACAATTATCAAGATCACTGCTAGGGACAACTTTGTGTACAGGACACACCACTGACCAGATGCAATGATAACATACTTGTGATTGGTTAGCGGTCACTCTCTAAGAGCATAGTGGCAGATACATTGATCAGGAATATTGACAATGGTGGCTGTCCTGGGTCATTGGTTAGAGACAGCAATCAGTGACAGGGTGATCAAGTTTGTCAATGAACAGATTTGGCAACTTGATACCCTAGAAACCGGAGCTGACCACACTTGGGAGGACCTGAGAGGTGCCAGGGCAGTTATGAAAAGCCTAAACAGTCGCCTTGCTGGGTTCGCAGAAAAGGAAGCTGGCTAGAGCCTTGTCCATCCCCATGTATCTTCCCCTGGCCCCAGGCAGGAGGTTTTAGCCAAATGGGGCCTTCTCTGAAAGACAAGAGACAGCAGAAGTAAGTCCACTTTACAGCTCAAACCCCACCTGGATGCAGGGACCCAGGGACCCACGCGACAGGCTGAAGCGTTCACAGGGGTGCAGGGACCCTAGGGACCCACGCGACAGGCTGCAGCGTTCACAGGGGTGCAGGACCCCAGGGACCCATGCGACAGGCTGCAGCATTCACAGAGGTGCGGGACCCCAGGGACCCACGCGACAGGCTGCGGCATTCACAGAGGTGCAGGGCCCAGGGACCTACTCGACAGGCTGCCGCGTTCACAAAAAGTATTTTATTATTTTTAACAGTATTCACTTTAAAGGAAGAGGAGGGTAGCATACAATTTTTACAGACAATATTTAAATGTTGTACATAGTTAACAATAACTTAGGTGTCACTAATTCAAAATAAAACAAGCCAAAAACAGAAAAACAAAATACTGCCGCTTCTTTTTCTTATGCGGGTACTAGCACAAAATAAGTTACTTCCGGTTATGGTGCTCTGCAGCAATTGGACGCCAGCATGGCATGTAGTTGACCTGTCAGTACAATGGCCTTCCCGGGCTAGGGCCCCTTGCCGCTGCACCACCACGGCACACAGAACCGAAGCTTGGGACGTGTTGTATGTACAGCTGTACCTTGAAGGATCCAGCCAGCCACAAGGGAACAGAACACCCCAGGAATTACGGGGACCACTGTCTGCCCTCCCCCTGTCCCCCACCAACCAAGAATGTAAGATCCCCCTTGTCCCCAGCCTCCTGCTAGGGCCATGGATCCAAGAACCTTTCGAGAAAGAACAGTGAAGCTCAGCCTTGGTTTGCAGGTTTTATTCCTTCTCATAGTGGGGCTTCTGTGGCGGCGTACACGTGACTGGACCCAAAACGAGTTTAAAAATAAAACCACTCATCAGCGAGTTAAGCTTATGCAGTTTGGGTTTTGTTTTGAATGTTTTCTTATTTATCGTAGAGTGGGCGGGAGTTGAGGGGTTAGCAGAAAAGGATGTATTTACAGGGGTCCGGCTGGCGTAGAGCATGGCCATTTGGGTCACACCAGCTTTGGCCTCTCGAAGCCAAGGGAATGATCTGGGAGACGTTTCCCCTTTCCAGAGAATGCTTCCTTCCTGTGACCCAGCCCTGGCCTGGGAATCTGCGCAGGACCGCCTGCGATTGTCTCTGCCCTCGAGGGCTGCGTCAGGGCAGGGGCTACCCTCCAGGCAGTTGGGGAGAAGGCTCTGGCTGAGGCCCTGTGCATCTGCCCCCCAGAGCCCTGACTGGTGGCAGTAGGCCCCAAGGAAGGACCCAGAGAACACAAACAGCCCGTGCCTCCATGGCTTCATGTTCTTGTAAGAAATAAGAGCAAAATAAATTATTATTATTATTTTTTTGCCTACTCCTTGCTCCTCCAAAAAATGGTTTCATTTTTCTGTCCCCAGTCTCCTCTTTTCCTTGCTATAACTGTCTCTTTTGCTCTCCAAGCAACTGTCCGTGAAAAAACTTTTCTGGGCAGCACCCAGGGCACACAAGCTGTAGGCCAGTTAGGAACATTCACAGTAATGGCGGCACGCGGCTGGGAGTCCTCCAAGGAGAGGTGGCTTCAGCCAGGCTAGGCTGGCAGGAGGAAGTGGGTCTCTTGGGATGGGCAGGAGCCAAAAGTGTGTTCCACCCATCCTGGGAGTGCCCGGGCTCGCTCTGGTTCTGCCAGTCACTCTCTATGTCCATGTCCAGCGGCAAGCTGAGCCTAGCCCATGGCAGTCACCATGCTGGAAGGGTGGGGGTGGCCGAAGGAGAGACTGGAGGACGGGTGGATGGGTGTTGGCGTGGGCAGGATGTGTCCAGAGTGGCTGAAGGGTGGGAGGTGTCCCACGGGTGCCATGTGTCCAGCCAGGGCGGCCGCACTGAATGGGGACGACTTCTCCTGCATGCACTTGGATAGCTCCTCAAAGCACTCAGCCCCTTTCTTGCTCTTCTTAGACTTGCTGGACATCTTCCGGTTCCGGGTCTGGATCCCTTCCTTCTTCATGGTCAGTGGCCTGTTAACCTGAGGGCAGCCACACAGCCTTTAGGACAAGTTCCCTACCTACCCAAGGATCCCTTCTCCACAGGTCAAGGGATGCTGGGTCACGCATATCCCCAGGGTGCCAGGAATTGTGCCTTCAGTGCAGTCCTCCTGTGTCACTCACCACAGTCCCCCTAAGCCTGCACAGTCACCATCTCAAGGAAGGAGAGTGAACGGTGTTACAGCCCACATGGTTGTTTCCAGTCCACTAAATGCCTGTACTGCTTGCCTCCTCCCAGACACCTCTAATCCTCCCTGCCCCCAACTTTTCCTAAAACAGGTACAAGCTCCCTGTCGGCCCTGCCTCCACCGGTCCCACCTCCAAAGCTCTAAATCAGAGGCCCCCTTCTTACAGGAAGCCCTTCTGGCACTCTGGGCTGACCAAGCAGGCAGCCGGCCGCGGCTTCCCAAGCCAAGCCAAGCTGGAGATTGTGGCTGGGGCCCGCTGGCGCTGGCCCGGCTGCACAAAGAACCGAGGTCCCTGGGGAGGGGTGGGGTGCACTTACATTGTGCAGCTTGTAGTAGAGACCACAGGCGTTGCACACAGGGTCCCCGTTGGCGTTCCGGCGCCATAAGGTGGTGGTTGTTGTCTGACAATTTGCACAACAGGTGCCCGCTCTCCTGGCAGCAGACTAGGAGGGGAGGGGTAGCGTCAGCGGGGGCTCTCCCACGCCCCACCTTGACCTCCTCCAAGGCCCTTAGCACCACCCCCAGTCTCACGGCTTAGCCCAGGAGCAGTGGGTCCCACAGGGGAACCAAGGCATCTCAGACCACGGAATTTTAGAATTTGAGAAGTAAGCTAGTTAGGAATCACAGAGCTTTGGAATAAAGAACTCTTAGAGTCCAACTGATGGTAAACACAGGGGAAAGCCGTCACTTCCCCCAACTGCCCAGCAATCTCATTTCATAGGTGAAGAAACTGAGGTCCCAAGAACAGTCCAGCCCTAGGCCATCCTGAGTAGCTCTTTCTCCGGTCGCAAGTCTCCTCCCTCACTATTCCCCTGGAAATCCAGAATCCGGGCGAGTCACGGCCAGGAGGCCATGGTAGCAAGACCCTGCACGGCCCAGGAGAGCCCAGAAAGGCCTGCAGCCCAGGGAACTAAAGTGTGGAGTTGCCTTGTCCTATACGCGATCTGCAAGTTACCGGGAGAGATTTAAATTAAATTTCACTACAATCTAAAAACAAAACGTTCGGTTCCCGTGACTGCACTAACTGCATTCCTGGCGATCAGTAGTCATACTAGCCAGAGGCTTCCACACAGGGCTGAGGAGCAAAGACATTCCCACTCCTGGCCGGTCTAGATCCCTGTGCCTGAGAGTTCTCACCTGCCGCCTTCACAGACCCTAATCCCAGCCCCCCAGGAAATGCCAGTCAGAGGTGGGGAGTGGAAGAGAGGAGATCTGGTCTCTAGAACAAGGAACTCAAGGGCCAGAGAGAAAACCCTTTTCCTAGACTACAGATCACCCTTCTACCCCAGGTAAAAGGAGTGGTACGTGTCCAGGTCCCCCCTCCAAGCAATCCTAGCACTGAACGCCACTGGGCAGTCAGTGTCGAGGGGGAGCCAAGTCCAGCTGAATCCAGAGTGGCCCTGGGCCTGAGCCTGCTGATGGAGGGGACCAGAGCTGGCCGCTGCGGGGGAAGGGATGGTGAGTAAGCAGCCTGAAGCTGGAATTCTGACTCAGGGGCCAGCAGTATATCCTCCTCCCACCCCCACCAGCCCACACCCGCCCTCACCCTGCTCCAGGGGGAAAAAAAAGAAAAAGGGCCCCAAAGCGGGTGAACGATTTAAGCCCATAAATCACTTCGCCCTGAAAAAAAAGATATTTATTATTCTTAGCATTTTACACATTATTTGCAGAGCGGAGGGTATTAGAAATTTCAAAACAGCCCAGCGAGAGGCAGGACTGAGTCGAGGTGGCTCTGAAAACTTGCCGGTCCGGAAACAGATACACGAAGTTTCCTTATCTACCCGCTGCAGATGTCCGGATAGGAAACTCCGGCAGGAGATCCGAAAGGACATTTTTTTAAAAATCACTCAAATGAAAATACACAGTATAGGTGACTCCATGGAAAAATAATAAAGGGCAGGTTTTTTTGGTGGCTGCTGTGTGTTATTTAAATAAGCGGAGGAGACTGTGAGCTGGGGGGTGGCGGGGAGGCCAGATCTGCCACAGGGAAAAGTACTTCATGACCCTATTTTTAAAAAGAGCGAATCGAAGGCCAGAACATGAGGTGGGCTGTGGACCCTGGGTTCTGGGAATCCTTCAGCAGTGGGGGGCAGGGGAGGGGGTGCCCGGTGGCTGCAGGACAGGAAATTCGGCAGGAAAGAATCTACCAGAATGAAGACCGACCTGACTGACCCCCCAAACGATTTTACTGATAAGAGACTTTCAGGTGGCAAAGTCTCTGCATTTGAAGTTTTGTTGTTGGGTTGTTTTCGTTTTTTTTGCTTTTGTTTTTCTTTCTTCCCTTAACTAACCACCAGCTCTACCCAGGTTTGTGGCCACTGTGGCCCTGCCCAGCCCTGCCCCATGATGTGCCCGTTCTTACCAGCCTCCGCTTGGGCTTGATGAGAGGCCGGTTCTGTCCATTCATCTTGTGGTAGAGCCCGCACGCATTGCACAGGTAGTGGCCCGTGCCATCCCGTCGCCAGAGAGGGGTGGCTGTGGCCCCACAATTGACGCACTCCCGGCCTTCTGTGAGGGAACAAGGAAAGACACAAGGCTACCTTAGCGGCTGCACAGAGAGCCAGAGGATCAAGTCTGACACAACAAGGGAGACTTTAGTTCCGCCCTGCAGACAGAGAAGACTCAGGGGGGTCCCCATACAAGAGGTCCCGAGTCTTTTAAGGACAACCCCCCACTTCAGATGCTGCTGAGGAAAAAGAAAGAGAAGCACTAAGTACAGGGTGCCAGAGATTCTCAGAGCCGCTAGCAAGATACCCGGAAAAGGAACTGAAGGCCAGCTTTGTGGAGCACAGGCTATAAGGCTACAGGCACAGTTGCCCAGCCTGGCCTCTTCCCTTCTATTTCCTCTCACTTTTGCCTCCCCTACTGTGCCAGCCTCGCCAGGTCTGTTCCTCATCTCTGCTATCCGACCCTTGCTGTCTTTATGTCTGGTCCAGGGTCAGGAAGGAAACTTCTCTTCCCCCCAGCTTTGCTCCTTTTTCGACCAAACCCCTAGAATCCAATGATCAAAGATGCTGTTTCTTAAAAATGAAATGTCAAGTTCTTTCACTTTGGGTTAGGGGCCTTATTTTCTGTTGTTTTTGGTCAGCTGGAATTCAAATAAAACAAAAACAAAAAAGGGCTACAAAGCAAAGACTCAAAGAGTCTTAGGAGAGCAGGAACTGGAGGGAAGTTGGGGTTCAGTGGGGTGACCGCTTAGTAACTCCGTACCCAGGACATTCTTCCTGCTTTAGTTGAAACTAAGTACCTAGGAACTCAAGCAAGAGAAAGGGGTTTCTGAACTCGGGGGTAAACCTTGAAGAAAACCTTCCCCCACCCTTGCTAAAAACTAGGGAAGGAGCCTCAGAGCCAAGGGTTACTGCCTGAGGCCGCACTGCTAGACAAACCCAGCTGGATCCAGCTATCGCTGGCAAAGAGGTGCGGGCACCCGCAGAGGTTCTCACTCCTACCCTCAGGGAGAAGGATCAGGGTCACTAGGACACAAACAGGCCTTGGGAATTTTGCTTTGGGGAAATCTCCAAGGAGATCTGGAGTCACCGCAATCCTAAAACTAGACCAGCAGCGTTGGAAAACCAGATTCCTTCAGGGCCTGGACCTCTGCAGTGCCCGCAGCGTGCGCACACGCTCACAGACACACGTACACACATGTACACACTGACTCCTTCCCTCACTTACACCCTGCATTCTCCCCCACACCCAGTCATGAGGCTGCTGTTTCAGCTGAACGGTGGGAAGGGAAGAGACAGGGAATCATATTCTGAGAGTCGGCTGACACTTACCCACCTTGGAAAGGAGGGCAAAGGTGAGGAAAGGAACTGAACATTGTGGACACCGGGAGCACTCGAGGGCAGGATGAAAGTTTTAGGGTTTCCTTGCTCCCCACAGGGAGCCCCTAACACCTGTGGACTATCAGAGAGGCTTGCCAACCACCCACTCTTGGCTCAGGAGCACTAACGTGGCCCCCCCTTCAGATCACAATCCCTTTTACAGAGGCACACCCCACCCACGGATCCTGACGTCCCACACCTGCCTTTACCTGAGCAGGAGCGCGCCTTGCTTCGCTGCTTAGGGGTGAAGCTGGAGGCTGGGCCACCCAGGAAGCCTCCTGGATGGAAAAGCCCGCTGCTATAGTCATGAGCTGAGGCAGGCACATAGGAGGGATAGGTAGGGATTGGGTGGTGTGTTGCAGGCTGAGTGCCCATGGTAGCTAGGCCTGGACGCAGGGGACTGCCGCCTTCCATCTTCATGCTCTCAGACAGTGACACTTGGTACTTGACACCGTCCTTGTCCTCACCCCGGGCTACACTACCCCCTGCAGAAGATGAGGCTGGGGAAGCGGCTCCCGTGGTGCTGGGGTCTGGAGACACTTCTTTGGGTGGTGTGGGTGGGAAGCCGAAGAGATGAGAGCCAGAGTGGGCTGCAGTGGGGGTGAGGGAGGCCACTGAGCTCCCACTGCCTCCCCCGCTCCCACCCGCTGCCCCGGGGTACACAGACAGAGGCCCTCCGGGTGCTCCAGCAGCTGAGGGGTGCAGCGGGGTCTTGGAAAACGGGCTGACGGTCCAGGGGCTGTGGTGATGGGCAGCGGCGGCTGAGAGGGCAGCTTTGCCTCCATCCAGCCAAGGCAAGCCTGGGCTGTGCAACAAGTGTGGCCGGCACATCTGGCCTCCGGTGAGACGGGCTGCAGCAGAGGGAGAAGGGTAAGTGTGGGCAGGGGCCTCAGAACCGTGACATAGGCATACAGGATCACAACTCAGGGAACAACCATTAGCAACCCCACCCTTTAAAACACCAGAAACGTAACACTCCAGCCTGTAACCATCAGCAATATCAGTGAAAGGCCGAAGGACAAGTGACACAGAGACAACCCCACCGGACCGGGTCCTGAAAGATTCTCCTAAGGCAGTAGGATATGGTCAGAAGCCCTACAGGTCCCAGACCCTCCCCAAGAGGTCACTGCCTCCACCTTCCCCAGACCGATTTCGCAGCTGCTCAGATTCCTGTGGATCCCACATCCGGGAAGCAGCAGCGGGCCGTCCTCCCCTCCAAGGCCTGGCGTGGGCGCCGGGCGTCCAGAAACCCGGAGGGCCGAAGCTCACCGTGCGCGGGGCTGTAGGAAACGCGCGCGCGCGCGTGGGCCGGGTTGGCGTAGTAGGGATTGCCCTGCGAGTCGAGATGGTTGAAGAAGACATCCACCTCATCAGGAGGCAGCAGCTGGGCTGGCTCCATGTAGTTGTGCGCCAGGCCCGGGTGGTGCGAGTCGGGGTGCTGCGCATTCAATACGGCGGGGTGCGCCATCCAGCGAGGCTGCTCCGGCGCCACCTCCATGGTCCGCTACTGCGGCTTGGAATCCAGGCGAAGGCGGGGCGGCCCTGGGTGACATAGGGGATTTGAGGAGTACTGCCGGCCTCTGACACCGCCCCCCCCCCCCCCCCCCGCCCCGCTCCCAAAGTCGGTGTCTTGAAAGGAAAGGCGTTCCAGTGGAGCTCCTCTGGGGACCAGTCCCGGGAAGGAGGAAAGCGCAAGGTTCAAAACGAAAGGAAGGTGGAGGAAGGGGTTCAGCCTCACACACTCGCGGGGAAACTCGCGTTCCCACAGCCACACAGCCATGCACACGAGGTCACACACAGGGATGAACCCTGACACCGGCAACCCCAAACAAACGCACGCGGAACTGAAATCGTGTTCTCACACCGAGCCCCTGTTCTCTGGGCACACAAACACACCAACTCCGACTAAAAGTTAGAGACGAGAGGGTGGACATCCACTCTGTGGCACACAGCCCCCCCCCATTTTCATTGGTAATGTATACACAAACTAACCTCGAGACCCCTCACCCTAAACATGAACACACACACGCAGTTCCTGGGGCTGAAAGCCGGCACCCAATGTCCTCTCCAGCAGTCAACCAGACCTCTCCACAAGGCATAAGAACGTAATCGCCCACAGGAGATCCTGGCCTGAGATCCAGAGATTCCTCCAACCAAGGAGTGCCCCACAAGCCCCCCGCTCCGCAAACTTACACTCGCAGCGGCGCGGGAAGGGGAGGGCTCAGCAGTAGAGAGTAAGGGACACCAGAGAAAAGCCCCTAGAATCGCGGGTCCCGCGACAGCGCGTCCAGAGACTGGCGGGTTCACGGGATAGGGGCGGGGGACAGCGCGCGCCTCGGCCTCCGGCCCGCCCGACTCCGGCCCCTCGGCATCCTCCGGCCGCCCTGGCGCCAGCTGCCGACTCCTGCACAGACATGAAGCGGGGGCCGCGCACGCCTAAGAAGCTGGCGCCAGCCAATCAACGCCGCGCGCCGCCCAGCCTCCGCCCCCCCATTGGCTGCGCCCGCAGCTTCGGCCGCTGGACTTCAGGACTGACCCTCGAGCCGGCCCCCCTCGGCCGCCTGGCCCCCTCCCAGCTCCCTCCGGGCGGTCTCTGATGCCAACGTTCCCCCCAGGGGACCCCTCGCCGCGGGCATCACCCTGCACCCCTCCGGCAGATGCTCGGGTCCTCCAACCTTTGCCCTCCCAGCAACTAGCCACCAATGGGGTCCCTGACTTCCCAAGAGCCGAGGCACACATCTTCTGGGTGTCTCTGCTAGGACCCCAGCTTTCTATACTCTTGGGCGAAGCCCCACCTCCTTCGCTATGGACCACGGCCAGCCAGTGTCTAGCGGACTCCCCAGACCTCTCTGCCTGCTTGTGCAATGGGCTGGTAGGATCGGCTGGACAGCACGGGTCTAGCACTGTGGACCCCTCTAGGACACCTGAGCTTTGGGCACTAGTACACTTAAAGCTGTGCTAGACCGATGGTCGCGGTCCGGCCAGCGGCCGGGAAGAGGGAAGGGCTCCGGGCGTGGTCTTACTTAGCAGACCACCAGGCCGAATTGCCTGGGGCGAGGTCGTGGAGCAGGGGACTGGCGCCAGCGTCGGCTGGAGGGAGACTCCCGGGGCACTAGCCATATGTATATTTTTTCTCCTAGGGGTCCCCGAAACGGCCTTGGGAGAGGGAAGCAATGTTTTGAGCACTTTGTTCCTGAAGTCACCTGAAGTTTTCCCTCTATACCTCCATTCTGGAAAGGCCGTGAGCTCGGAGGCGGGTGTACAAACCCAGATTCTTTTCTGGATATAGACCTGAGACCTAAGCTCCGAAAGAGGCTTGTGAGTCAGACTTTTAGGGGAATCTAGACAGGTGCGAGGGATTGGCCGAGTTCGACGCCCTCCATCTAGCCCCTCTATCTTTTCAGGGCCCTAGACCCCCAGGGAATAATCCCAGAGGAGTCCCAGGTGGGTCCCGAGCAGGAGGAGGGCTGGGGTCCCCGCTACCCCCAAGGATGGGGGAGGGGCAGCAGGATTGACAGTCCGTAATTGGGTAACTGGAGGCGGCTTCTCCGGCCCGGCGGCCCCGCCACCGCGACGCCGGGCCCCTGACGTCACCCGATTCGCCAGGAAATGAACTTTTTAATAATCCAAGGAGGGAGGAAAGCCCTCGGTCCCCTCGGCTCGGGGGGCGCCCAGCCCGGCTCAGCTCTGCGGCGCGCCCCCATCACCCCCTCCCAGGTCCTCTGCGGACAGCTCTGTGGGGGCGCGCGCACGGCAGGGCCTCCTCCGGTCTCTGCGGCTGGCATCCGTCTGACTGTCCGAGGCTTTGGAACAGGTAAAGGCCCTGGGTCGGGGTGCAGAACTGCACTGGGCCAGAAACCCGCACCTCATGTGCCGTGGGGGGGGGGGTTCCCTTCTGTCCACCGTGTTCCCCGTGCTTCGGCGCTTCAGAGGCAGCAAGGGCCCAGGCGGCTGGGAAGTCCGCTCCCAACCTAGGCAGGAGGTCGTGAGAGGGCTCTGGGGGGCTACAGGGGCTCAAGGCCTCAGTGCCTCGGGGCCGGCTGGGCAGGTGGGTGGTCCAGTGCCGCCAAGCTCGGGAAGGCTTTCTCGGTCCCCCGACCTCCCCCCCCCCCCATTTAGACCACGGTTCTTCATTAACGCGCAAAGCGAGATAGCCACGGAGTTTCCAGAGTATTCGATGTCCCTGGAACCTAGCAGGGGCGTCTAAAGGCCTCGCAGCCCGGGTGATATCCCTACTCTCGGCAGCGGAGCCCCATGCGGCCGAATCCCAGGCCTCTGCTCTGCAGTTTTCCTGGAGGAGAGCGCCGAACGCCGAGGAAGCTGCCCTCGCGGTGCCCGTGCCTCGGCTGACAGGGCGGGGGTGGGTGCTCCCAACACCACCCCTGAAAGCAGGTAATTCCCCTCTTTTCTCTCAAAGTCGCAATTAGATTATCTCCCTGTTTGAACGAGATGGGGGCTGTGGTTTCCACGCCACGTCAAGGACAGGGCAGGTCCTGCCTCTTGGAGAGGTGAAAGTGGTCAGCTCGGCGGATCCCCACTCAAAACGCGAGCCGCAGTGTTGTCCACCCGACATACACAGAGCGGAGTGCGGAAGGGGATTTAATTACTCTGCTCGGCAGCTCAGAAAATCGCCACGCAACAAGGGCTTAGCCGGGCGGTTAAGCGACGCTTGAGCCAGGGCCTCAGGAGACCCGCAACAGCCTGCCTGCCCACAGACTGGGCATGGGTTTTTTTTTTTTTTGGTTGGGGGGGGGGTCCTGCCAGGTCCGTTGAGGCCCCGGGGATGCCTTCTGGAAACTGCCAGCAACCAGCCGGCTGGCCCGAGCCCCTGCCGAGGTTGGAGCCCCCTGCGTCCCATGCGGGACTGCTGAGTTTTCCACTGGAATGAACCCGTCTGAAAGGGAAAATTGCCGGCTAGGGAGCAGCACACTGAATTGGCGAATAAAGGGGAGCCTGCGCTGATGAACGTGTGTGAACCAGATCGATCCACAGCCAAGACCTCACTACTAGGCCGAAAATGAACGGCTAATAAAACCCAAACAAACACCAGGGAGGACCGAGACAGATTCCAAGGATGGCTTTGAGTCGGCTTCCTCCAGCCCCCGCCGCCCCCAAAAAACGAAAGCAGATTTATTCCAATTCACAGCCCCCTACTATGTAAGCGCCCCAGAATACCTTCAAGCGGACACTTGTCTTTTTTTTTTCTTATTTTGTTATTATTTATTTTGGAACACACCTGGCGTTGCTCTTTTCTGAACTAAACAGTCCTTTTCCTTCCTCGGGAACAAGATTTCTAGGAGAATAGGGAGAACTTGGCTCCTAAACTCAGTTTTCTAACCACCATTTCCCCCCCTGCGTGCCCTGGAAGCTTCTGTGGAGAGGGGACAGTGCAGGGGGATGCTTCTGACTGGGAGCTGGGTTCTGTGGACCCAGGCCTATTCTGGGTGTGGCCCGGCTCCTGCAAATTTGTCTGAAAGGAGATGGAGTCGTATAGGGCCCCCACTTGGTGCTGCCCTCCCCGCTTGCCCTTTGTTTAAACTTCGCTTATCCAAACTGTACCTGTGGGATCACAAGTTCGCCTCTCTCCTAAGGGCAGCTAAGTGGTCGGCTAGCTTAGGACTGCCTTCCAGACCGAAGTCGTTCACAACCCAGAGGCCTCCAGCGCTACATTAGCCACAAGCTTTGAGGGACACTGGGAAGGAAGGGGGGAGCGTTGGCCACTGTGGCTCAGTGTCTCTTCTATGTGGAGGACTCAGATATGGTCCAGGCAGCGCCCATCAGTTCAGAAAGGCTCTAGCAGTACCTGCTTCCTGGGGTTCCCTTTCAGATCCTCAAATCAAAAGATTCCCGCTTCCCTAACATCTGCCATCTTCTTCGGAGTCTTTTGGAAATACAGACACTGGGATCTAGTGTCTTTAGGTGTCAGGCCCGTTGGTGCCAGGTGCCTTGGACTCTGCAAATTCTGGTCAACTTCTAGCCTCCATACCCCACCCTCAGCACCCTCAGACCATGGGAGCCTTCTCTTCGCCAACAACTCTGCTTAGCTCAGAGGCCTGGGGTCAGCGGCTTGACAACTGCTAAATGCATTTCGTTAGGTGCAATTTGCTTGCAATTTGTCAACCCGGCTGGGAAACGCTCTCCAGACGCCTGGCAGACGCCTCGGCTCTACCTGGTTCCTGGATCCTGACTATTTAGAAACGAATCCCAACTTGGGCCTCGGTGTAGACCCAGAACTCACCCCCAGATGTTTCCGACCTCGGGAGGCAAGTCTTTTTTTTTTTTTTCCAAAACAAACGAATTTCTTTCCTTGTTTTTTGATAAAGGAGCAGACGCCACACGGGAGGCCCTTTTGAATACAAGACCTTTCCCCTCACCTCTGGGGTAAGCTCGAGTTCAAGCCCGGCCGCCACCGAACGATTCAATGCCCAGCGTCCAGACAGGCCCAGAGCTCTGTCTACGCCAATACACAGCGGATCCCCGAGTATGCGTCCGCCTCGTTCTTATTGAAATCCCACTGAAAGGATTCTGGCTCCGACGTGGGCAGGGGAAGTCTTACACACCCTGCTCTCTCCCCCACCTGCACCCCCGCCACACAGGATAAAGGGCCGCGGGGCGCTTCGGGTGGGGGGCACAAGCAGGAGCGAGCCGGGTTAAGCCGCGCAAAGCCGGTGCACGGGACCAGCCGGCAGGTGCAGCCAGCGCCCGGCGGCCCGGCTTGGGCGCAACGGCCGCCGCGACCCGGGGGTGGGGAACCGCCCAGACAAAGGCTCCAGCTCTAGGGTGGGAGGGGGGCGCGCGTCGCAAAGCTCTGGAAAGCTGGGTTTTGAGGCCCAGGGCTCTATTTAAAAAAACGGAAGGCAGGAGCCCCCAGACCGGCCTTTGGGTTTCCGGATGACCTGGGATTGAGCCACTAGTAGGACCGTGCGATCCGGGTGTTGGGAAGGCCGAGTCTGGGATCCGGAGGCTCGGGACAGCGCGGGCGGCGTGCAGGAACTTACCGACAGCGGCGCGGTGGGCGGCGCCCTCGGGCGGCCACGGTCAGGGCTCAGCAGGAAGGGAGCGGTGTGTGCGGCGAGGCTAGTCGGCCCGCGGTAGCCAGCGCGACGGAGGTGGTCAACAGCGGGACCCTGGCGCGGCGCCGAACGAAAGCTCGATGAGCAGGCTGCCGCTTTTGTCCGCCTGCTGCGCCCCAAGACCAGCTATGGTTGAAGTGATCGCAGGCCAGAGAGACCTGAGCAGTGAACTACCGCCCGGCTGGCCTGGCCACCTCTCTTGGTTCTGGCTGCCTCTCGGTTCCCGGCCTCAGCGCTGCAGCTTTTTATTTCGACATCACTGTGGGGGGGCGCTACAGGGGGGGCAGGAGGGTGCCCGGGCTCTGAGCCCTGTCTGCCGGGTCCAGCCGCCGCCGGGCTGGCCAGGCTCGGGCCACTAGTCAGTCGAGGCGCGCATACCCTGCAGACCACTCCCGCCTTCTTAGGGCCACGCAAGCACTTCTGCTCTCAGGGATGTAATCTCAGAAAGCCTGGGATGTCTCTCTTTGGAGAGTCTCCCTCACAAACAAGTACACAGACACCTGCCCCTCCTTCCACACACACATCGTGCACGTGCTGTCGCTGGGGAGATGACCTCGGACAGGCGCTTTCTGGCACACAAACACCCGTGTGCACACACATGTATAAGATACACACACAGAGTCACACAACTCTCTTACTTCCTGCACATTTGGCTAAGTGCAGATGTATTCCCACTTCAGACACCCATTCCCAACTCAAGCATTTTAGGAATAGAGTTTCTGGTGTATCCTAGGCCCGTTACTAGCAAACCCTTTGCATCAGAGAATGCCACAAGGAAAGTAAGAGGCTTGTACTTAACAAGGGTAGGAGAGGGCACATTGGTGGCAGTCTGCGCCCTAAGGAGGTACCTGAGCTAGGTAGCAATGAGAATCCATTCCTTGTGGTACCTTAAGCCCCTCTGAGAAATCCAAAGAACTCCCATAGACTTATTCTGTTTGGAAAGACTGCATGCTTCCTGGTGTGCCCCGTGCGCAGACAGTGGGTCTTCTCCTCCCCCATACTCATGCCCCCAGCTGTTTTAGGTCTTTCTGAATCTGTGGCATTGTGTGTGCACCCCTGCATGCAGTTCGGTTTATGTGCCCAGTGGGCTATGTGTTCACAATGGGGAGATCACAGGAGTGTTTGCAAAAGCCTGACTTGTTATCAGTGTGGGACCCCACAGATGTATGTAAGAGAGTGTCTGTGGAACCAGGTGTATGTCTGTGTCCAGATATCTCCGAGACAGACCATCATCTTCAAGAGTCATGTGATAGGCAGAGGGTATCTCTAAGTATGTCTTAATCAGTGTGTTTACCTTTGTACATTTGTGTTTGTGTATGCGTCTTTAATAGTCTGGCTATCTGTGCATGTATAGCTTTCAACTTGTATTTAGGTGTGTGTGTGTGTACTCACTGACAATTCTATTAATTAATGAAGGGTGTGTATATCTGAAGCCATACAGTTGTGTGTGTGTGTGTTGAAAGGCAAGGTTTCACTATGTCAACAGCGGGGATGGAACTCACAGTGATGTATCTGCCTCCGATGCCTGAGAGCTGGGATTAAAGGTGTGTCCCACTGCTCAGGATTAGTATGTCTTTTTTTTTTGTTTTGTTTTGTTTTGGTTTTTCGAGACAGGGTTTCTCTGTGGCTTTGGAGCCTGTCCTGGAACTAGCTCTGTAGACCAGGCTGGTCTCGAACTCACAGAGATCCGCCTACCTCTGCCTCCCGAGTGCTGGGATTAAAGGCGTGTGCCACCATCGCCCAGCTGGGATTAGTATGTCTTAATGGCAGATGGTGACGTCTAACTTTGAGCTGAAGGAAGATGGGGAGAAGCACATCCCAGTATGGCTGCATATCGGTTGCTTCAGGTGGGGCTGATGTGCTGGTCTTGGTGTTTGTGGCCATGTCTGAGGGGTGGGCACCTGGATCTGTGTTTCTGTAACCAAGGCTACTCTATGTCTGGTAAGGGAGGAGTGTGGAGACAGTATGTGTATCCTCCAGGCTCCCTGGCCTCCTGCACCTTGCCTAACCAGCAGGGCATGCAGCCAGTGGAGCCCCGGGGTGCCATTTACTCTGGCACTTTCTGTCTGTCTGTGGGAGGGGGAGATGAGCCGATAAGCCTTATCTGCCATTACCAGGGCCGTGCTGAATAACCGTTCTAATGAGGTGGCCTCACTGGGACCACCAGCTCCCAGGCCCCTTTCCTATTGGGTAGGGGCATGGCCAGCCAGGCCTGGAGCACAGAGCCAACCTCCTAGAGACCTAGTAACCCTTGCATCCTAGAGACCTTTATTTATTTATTTATTTTTAGGTCTGTTTTGTTTCTTAGAGGAAGGTCCTAGGCACTGCAGCCGGGAATCGTGTTCTCTCTTTTCCATGGGCTGGTCTGGGCTGGTTAGACCAGAGCCCCTCAGTCTGGCCTCTGAGGCACCAGTATGAAGCCCAGAACTTGGGATGGAGGTGATTGGAACCCAATGACAGAAAGATCCAGAGAGAAAGGGACAAGCTGCAAGGACTGCGGGGACAGATTTTTTAAAATGCAGTCACGCTAAGTGACAGAGGCACTATCAAGGCGGGCCTAGGGACTGGGGTACTCAGGCAGAAATAAGACAACAAGTGGCAAAATTAATCAGAGAGGTGGCAATAAAGGCGAAGAAAGTATCAACCAGAGAGAGAGACGGACAGGGAGACAGAATCAAGACGCGGGAATGAAGCGAGACGACAGAAACATAAGAGGAGAGTGAGAGAAGAAAGGCCCAGAGAGACATGGGGGGGGGGGGAGCAGGGCTGGGGAAGGACAGACCAAAGATGGAGAGACTGAGTTGGCCTGGCCGGCCAAAGAGAGGCCAAGGCCTTGGAGACCCGGGAAGGCATGAGCTGAGGCTCGGACCCCGGGCGGGGCACCGATCACGGGGCGATGGCGATGGGCAGGGGGGTCTGAGTGGGGCTGAGCCGCTGTCCGGGGTAATTTTTCATCTCGGCCGGCTAATCTTTGTTCCCGGCGAAGATAATGAATAGCCAATCGTTATCTGCCCGGCTCCCGGAGGCTGCCCGCGAATGGGGTTGTACAGGGCTGGGAATTGTTTCCAAAGTGCTTCGGAATAAATGGTGTTTCTTATCTCTGCCTTCCAGATTATCGCAGCCCTTTCAGAGCGCGCACAACAAATGCGCCCGCCATCGAATGCAGCATTTACCACCGCAGATCCGCGCGCCGATGGGCAGGCAGATAGCGTCCGCGGGGGGCTCGCCGGGCGGCGAGTGTGCGCCCCGGCTCTGCCCGGTGTGTTTGGAGGAACACGTGGGTATGCCAGCGAGTGGACCCTGAGCGAGCACGGATGTGAGTGTGCTAGCAAGTGTGCTTCGACAAAGTGCACGTGTGCGAGTCCCTGAGCACACGCGTGGTGAGTGTTCGTGGTGAGTGCCAGGAAGTGGCCGCCTAGACGCACGCGGGAAGCGGTGCTGCACGTGACCGCGTGGGGAAGCATGCAGTGGGTGTGCTAGCCGCGTGCACGAGCGAATGTATTGTGAGGACCTACAGGTACCTGGCCCTGGAGGATGCTGTTTAGGGGAGCGGAACAGAGGGATTTGCAGCCACTCAACAATGTTACGTGCAGCACGTGCAGGCCGCACTCCACAAGGTGTGTTTCCGAAGCTGCGCAATGGGCGCAGTAGCCGGCGTTTGAGCCCGTGGCACAAGCTTTTGGAACCGGCACGGATCTGTGGGACAATGTGTACCCAGGGCGACCAAGTGTACAGAGAGATACGCAAAGCAAAGGGTCATTTTCGAGCCTTGCTTGAGCATGTGTTGTGCAGACTCTGGGCTGACTGTGAAAAAGACCCCGCTATATGCCGGGTCTGGGGAATGCTGGAGAGTGACACCGGCGAGTGGCTGTTAGGGGAGTTTGAGAACGCCTATGGGTCCCGGTCCAGGCCCTGGGACCCCTCCGCCAAGGCCTTACAGCTGGAGCGACAGAGCCCAGCCCGCCGCCCGAGGTCCGGGCCGTGAGTGACACGCGCCGCCACAAAGGCTGTATTTTTCCAGGCCCGCGCCCCGCCCGCGCGCGATGGTCCCCATGGCGACGCAGATAGCGCGCGGCCATTTTCCTATCTCCCCGGAGTCTATTATACAGCGGGATTAGCTCATCTCCAGGCAGGTCAAACCCAAAGTCACACAACCTGCGGCGTGAGCCCCGCCTCCGGCCGGTCCTCCCGCAGCCGGAGCGGGCGACCCCCGCGGCAGGGCTGGTACGCGGGAGCAGAGCGCCACCTGGCGGACGCAAGTTCCCGGTGCGCCGCATGAGAGGCCGCAAATGCCCCAGGCTGTGGCTTTGTGTGGTCGCTTGGGCGACCCCTAGGGAAAAGCTGGCACACAGTAGGTACCCCCAAACTATTTGCTGGAAGGATGGAATGGCAGAAAAGTTGATAATGGCTGACTACCAAAGGCCACCGCATGTTGGCAACAAAAACCTATCCCACTAAATGAAGAATAAAAGCCGATCTCCTTTGCAACCCTGGCTGACTCCAGACTCGGTTTTCTCCTCCTTCCTCCAGGGACAGCAGCCTTTGGATTCTCTGGACAGGAACCCTCTATCCCCGTGTCTGCTGGTTTCTCCACCCAGAGTAGTCGGCCTGTGGTCAAATGTCACCTATCAGACAGCAGTTGCTCCTCTCTCCCCTACCCTTCCTCTGCTTGTTGGTCAGTTTCATAGTATCTAGTGAATTCTCTAATAACATTTGCTTGTTCAGGGTTCTGTGATGTTCCGGACAATGGCGGAGCGGCAGAATTCTGACAACTGATTCGGATTATCACAACATTAGGAACTGGCTGAGGACCAGAAGGGTAAGCCCCAAGGGTCAGGCTGCACAGCTTTCTTTGCATCATTGAACCTAGGATACTCGCTAGCTGTGAGTTAGGAGTTACTCAGTAGCCACCTCGGCCCCAGAGCCTGACCCCACCCACCTACCCCATCTGGCAGCTCCAGGGTCCCTCACTTCTCTGCACCTGCTGTGAAGGTGAACTCATCCCATCTTGCTCTGCTAGAGTAGGTCCTGAGTGGCGGCGGCGGCGGTGGTAGTGGCGGTAGTGGCGGTGGTAGCCGTGGCGGTGGTAGCCGTGGCGGTGGTAGTGGCGGTGGTGGTGGCGGTGGTGGTGGTGGTGGTGGTGGTGGTGGTGGTGGTGGTGGCGGCGGCGGTGGTGGCGGCAGCGGCGCTGGCACCTGAACCTCAGGAGACTGCTCTCTCCGTTTAGGTTAACTAGGTACTGCATTCCTGGCTTTGGTGATCCAGCTGCTGCTGTGGAACTCAGCAGGCTCCTTCCTGGGGACTGGGAGTGTAGGGAGGGGTGTGGCCAGGAGTGCTGGGAGTTACAGGTACTAGCAGTTCCCTCAGTGCTGTCCTGGAAAAGGAGCTGAGTGGGGACCCTTCCACACCATCCACACCCCCACCCCCACCTCGCACACACCTCTCGGCTGGGCAGCCATATGCAAGTTACTTTCCCGCTCTGAGCCTCTGGTTCTGCCTCCATAGCCCTCCCTCCAGGATCACGGACTGTTGGTGTGGTGTACGAGCTTGCCTTTAGAAAGCATTTTGTGAGCCTGGCTTGTCAAGTTGGCAGACAAAGTCTCTGGCAAGTGCCATGCCCAATGTCTGCCAGCACCCTGGAGTGGGAGATTACATGTAAAGAATCTCATGTCTTGCTTTTTGTGAAACACTTCAAGACTGGCCACTTGCACCTGAGTTCTTGCATGGGGATGGAGTTCTGCAGAATCCCCTCTGAGCACCTGGTGCCCACCCATTCCCATTCCCTGGGTCAGGGCCTGTTTCCCACGGAGCCACTGACTACTAGTGGTTGTGTTAATTTTGCCTTTCCTATCAGTACTGGGGCCTTCTGTCTTGTTTCTCCCTGTAGGACCACTAAACCACTTAGCAATGAATTAGTCAATGAATTAACAGAAGCAACATTAAGAGGAGGCACACAGCCACCCTATAAAGGTCTCTGGCTCTGCCTATTGAACTTCACCAACTTACCAAAACAGTGAAGCAGCCAGACCTGACTCAACATGCAGATCAATAAATCATCAGGTTATGATAAATATTGGGAGGGGATATGTTTTCTAATATCCAGACCTTCTTCCAAATAGTGGGTGCTATGGAGCAAAAGAAAAGTGGATGCAGTCACCCTTGTAGCAAGCGGTAGAGGTTTGATAAGGCAGTAGGCACAGCAATAGCCAGGAGGAGGTCTGACGACGAGGTATGAGAACTTGGGAACACAGTGTATAAAGAGGGTTGACTCAGCCAACAGGGGGCTCAGTGGATAAAGGTTTGCCACCAAGCCTGACCTGAATTCAGTCCTTAGAACCCACGTAGTGGAAGGAGAGAGCCAATTTCTGCAAGTTGTCCTCTGGTCCTCCCCCCTCCCCCCAGTATATAAGTGCAAAAAAGGTGTCACCAAATCAACAGAAACCACAGTGGGAAAATGCACAAGGGTATAGAGAGACAATTCACTAAAATTAATATGATGTCTCTTAAATAAATCAAAACATGCAATTTCCTTAATCTTTTTTCATTAATTCAGCTCCAAATGTATTAACTACGTTGTCTTTTTGTGTTCTCTCTCTCTCTCTCTCTCTCTCTCTCTCTGTTGTTGTCATTTTGTGGGGTGTGCTGGGGTGGAACTCAGAACCCTGTGATGACCTCTGAGCCAAGCCAGACTCAGAACTGGGACCATTTCTGAAAGACAATTGCAGCTCTCTGAGTCAGGATTCACGAGCAGTGATGACGTACGCCTTAATCCCAGCACTCAGGAGGCAGAGGCAGGCGGAGCTCTGATTTCTAGGCCAGCCTGGTCTACAGAGTGAGTTTCAGGACAGCCAGGGCTATGTAGAGAGATGCCTCAAAAAACCAAAAATGAATAAATAAGAACTCTCTGGTCTTACTGGCCCTGGTTGTGACGGGTCCATTTGTATTGTAGCAGTTGCTCAGCCGTTTTGGGGAACAGAACGGACCCAAGGTGGCAGCATGGGGGCAGAGAAGCGCCTGGAGGATGGTGAGGTGAGGCCAGGGCCCCACCCTGCAGTCTGTCTATCCAAACCTGACCTCTCCTTTCTGCACAGCTGCTCCCCTGCTCCCTGCTACTGTCTTTTCCTGCCTGGATTACCATAGCAACATTCTCTCTGGATGGCACAGTCAGGAACCTCTCCTGCCCCTGCTAGGAGAAGCCCCTCCAGCCACCGAGCTGTGCTCCTGGCTCGCCTACATGGTGCAGCCCTCTCCCCAAGTGCTGAGTGTTACCTTTCCAGTCCACTTCTTGCTCAGTTGGGAGAGGAGGGCATAGCGGGGAGCAGGAGGGTCCTAGGACTTGCAGCTTTCGGGTGGGCTACTGGGCAGATCAGTGCCTGGGATTCCCTGGGGCACAGGCAGCCTGAGGCTGGTGATCAGCCAGAGACAAGACCTGGAATGAAAATAAACAAAAATCCAAGGCTCAGTGCAGGGCCAGAGGTCAGCCGTGGGCCAGGTTAGGCCAACTGTGGAGGCTGGGATGCAGGACTGGATATCACAGGCACACAGGGCTTCCATCTTGGACCCCACATCCACTCGGTGCAGAGCTTTGATATCCCCCAAATCCCCCAGCCTGGCCAATTGGAACTTCCTGTAGCAAGATGCATTGACTGAAGATAGGGACATAATTCAGGCCTGGGAGAATCACACCGCAACGACACTCATCTATTCCCTCAGGATCTGTCCTCTTGGTCAGACACAACTCAGAGTGGTGGTACCTTCTTTGTGCAACACAGAAGGCTTCCTGAGAGCAGAGCCACACGGGCACAGAGAGACAGAAAAGAGAGAGACTCGTACTATGCTACCCATTTTGGTTGTTTGTTTGTTTGTTTTGTTTCTTGAGACAGTTTTTCTGTGTAGCCCTGGCTGTCCTGGAACTCACTCTGCAGACCAGGCTGGCCTCAAACTCAGAGATCCACCTGCCTCTGCCTCCTGAGTGCTGGGATTAAAAGTGTGCACCACGGCACCTAAACCCCAGAGCCTGAGCCCATTCACAGCCTGGCCTTTGCCGTTCCCTAAGACGATTTGGCACCTCTATGCTTTTCCCTTTCCTTGGTCCGAGGTGAGCTTCTATTTCTTTTTTTTGTTTTTTTTTAATATTTATTTATTTATTTAGTATATAATATTCTGTCTACATGTATGCCTTCAGGCCAGAAGAGGGCACCAGACCTCATTACAGATAGTTGTGAGCCACCATGTGGTTGCTGGGAATTGAACTCAGGACCTTTGGAAGAGCAGGCAATGCCCTTAACCACTGAGCCATCTCTCCAGCCCCTGAGCTTCTACTTCTTACAACTGAACATGCCCTGACCCCACCGCTGTGGTTGGTCAGAACCAGCTACAGTCTCTGCCTCTGAGAGGGACAGCCCTCCTCCGACTGACTGCTGGGAGGCTCTTGCCAGTGACCTGGGCTGGTGGCAATGGTGCCGTGAAGGGTCCTGGCCTGAATTATCTGCTCTACTTCTGATTTCTTAAAAGTTTTGGGAATCCTGAGTGGACTCAAAAAAGCCCCAGCATGCAAGGCCACTGTGTGGTGAGTGTGGAAGCCCACAGCAGTCAGGAGAGGTCTCTAGTGGGTCTTAGTTGTTCCAGCCATGGGCCATTGCTGGACACAGATACTCCAGGTCAGGTGAGTGACCCCTGTCAGTCCATTTCTTCATCTATCAAGATTTCTTTCTTTCTTCATTCATTTTCCATCTCCACTGTGAAGAGTATAAAGAGATGGTTGGTGTGTCTGAGGTCTAACCTGCAAAACAGAAACCACTTTTTAAAAAATGGAACAGAGGTTGATAAGACGGCTCAGTGAGTAAAGCTACTTACCAGCAAGTGTGTCGGCCTGAGTTTGATTCCCAGGACCCGATGGAGGAAGGAGGAGCCTCGGCTCTCAAGCTGTCCTCTGACCTCTGTGTGTGTGTTGTGTACAAGAACATACCACGCACACACACACACTACACATGTACATGCACTCACACATGCACATACAGGCATTATAAATGTGTGTGGAACATACCGCACATACCACACATATACACACACTACACACATACAGGCATTAAAATTGTGTGTGAAACATACCACACACATACACACACACTACACATGTATAGGCACATGCACACGCACATACAGACATAAATGTGTGTGGAACATACCACACACACACTACACACGTACAGGCACGCATGCACATACAGGCATTATAATTGTTTGTGGGCAGAGTAGATGGTAGTAGGCAAGTGAGGGCCGGAAGTGGTCAGTATATGTCTTGTATGTGTGTGAATTGTCTAAAGATAACTTTAATAAAGTATATACAAAAATCTTTTCATTTGAAAAGCTGTGTGCTGTTCCATTACAGTTTCTCATTTTTATAGAGTTTCTTCCAGCCTTTGTTCAGGGCATAAATACACTATTCAATTTGCTAAATTGCTTTCC